ATGCTCACCTGGAACTGGAGTTCAGAGCTCGGGACTCCTTCCGGATTGAAAAAGACAACAGCGTACCCAGCTGCCAGCCCCTTTCACAAGCACCTCCGTACCTCCACACTTCACACCTCTGCACCTCCTACCAGACTCAATGCGCTTTTCTCTTTGCTCCTAGGTGGAGAATTTCCACTCAGCCAGCCTTCCTGTGGTTCTGGATGATGTCCATTCCATCTTTTAGTTGTATTTTTGAAGTGGTTGTGCGAGGCAGCAATCTCCGGTGTTTACCTATGCCACCATCTTGGTTTCTCCCTTACTGACATATTTACCTATGCCACCATCTTGGTTTCTCCCCATTACTGACATTATACAATAAAATCTACTTGGTTCATTTACTACATAAACTAGAGGCCTGGTGCATGGATTCGTGCACACCAAAAGGAAATTAATTAGAAAGTGTCCTCCGAGTAGGACTGGGCAAGAAGGGCCGGACACACCCTAGAGCCAACCTCCCCTGGTCCCTCCCAGCTGGCTGCACCTGAGGCGGTGCTGGGGCTCAAAGGGCATCTGTGGAGTAAGCGTAGTCTCTCTGGCAGGTGGGGTCCCTTGGTCTGGACTGCGGGAATCGGGCAGAAACCGGCAGGTCCAACATCACCTGAGGGGTCCCAGAGTGCGAGAGGGCACTCTGCAAGGTTGCTGTCACTTGGCAACTCCTACGTTGAGCGTCTGCCCCCTGGTGATCAGTGCACATCATACCTACCAGCCAGCTGGTCACTTAGCCTTTTACATATATAGAAGATATTCTTGAGAACTCACACCATTCCAGAAACCATAGTAAGCATTGAGTACAGAGACATGAAGGAACTAACCTTCAAAAAAACTCATAGCCTAGACTAGGACACAAACAACTCTACTTGAATATATTAGTAACAGGGCAAAGAGATTATACGAATTGGGAAAGAAACACCTTTATCAATCTTGGGGGATGTAATAAAAAAGTAATCCTTCTCAGAGAGGACTGAATCAAGTATTACAGACAAATAGAAATTAGGCAAACATGGGGAAATAAGCATTCTAGACCAGCGGTCACCAACTGGTGGTCCGCAGACCACTGGTGGTCTGTGAGGTCCAAAAGGTTGGCACTACTGGTTTAAGGAAATCTTTGGAGCAGCAGTTGCCAACTGGTGGTCTGCAGACCACTGGATATCCATGAGCTCCAAAAGATCGGCAACTGCTGTTCTAGACTCATACAAGGACAGAAAGGATCAAAAGATCATGCTTCATACAGAGAACTGAAAATATTCAGATAGCTAAAATTCTGAGAGGGACGGGTGGAAAGTGGAGTTGCCAAGGGGGTTATGGATATTGGTAGGCAATGAAACAGGCCTTCTGGCCCTGACGAGGAAAAAAAATCCTATATAATAAAAACCTAATATGCAAATTGTCCCCTTGGGTGGTCATTCAACCAGGAGTTTGACTGGGAGGTCAAGAGTTCGACCGCTGACCACCAGGGAGTGGCATGGAACATGGCGGGTGTTGGCAATGCGCTGCAACCTCTCTCCAGCTACCTGGGTGCAGGGGTGATGGGAGGAGGTGCAGTGAGAATGCAGGGTGATGGCTAAGCTTGCTGTCACTCTCCCTGCTAACCGCTCCCCGGGACACCAGGGCTTGCGAGCCAGGGAAGCCCCCGCACGCAGGTGCTAGGTGCCCATGAGGAGCCTGCCCCACACCTGTACGGCCTCTTTCAGGTAACCTGGGCCGCAGCCACTGGGACTGCAGGTGCTGATCAGGCTCCCCATGGGTTCACGCAGGAGCCGGTCTGTGAGGCCAGCCAGCAGAGAGCGCACTGTCCGCCCAGTTTCCATGCAGCGCCACTGGGCAGCCCAGAGGCCCACACACTAGCCCTGGCCCTCAGTATCCAGCCCATGCTCACCACATCTCTTCGTGGGGCATCGGTTGCTGTGACTCAGGTGGAAGGTGGCACATGGGAGCCTGGGGACTCAGGTGTTGCCCAGGGCCCAAAGGTCAACTGGGACCTGCCCTTCCATGCCATACGCTCACACTTTGATCGCCGGCCAGGCCTAGGGACTGCACGAATTTCATGCACTAGCAATAATAATAACAATAATAATAACGATGACATTTAGGAGTTCCCAGCAAAAACACTAGCTGGCCATACCATCATTTTACAGGGAACCCCAACAATCTATAAGCTCTGCCCATACACCGAAAACTCCAACAAGCTTTTTAAAAATGCATTCTATTTTTATGTTCTTTATAATAAGCACACTTTTAACTTTTAAAAAGACCTCCTTTCAGAAATCTGGTTTAAAAATTCAGTTAAAATACAGAAAATTGCTAACTCTTTCAAAGTACCTAAGCACGGCACAAATTATTCTACCATTAAACCAGAACTAAAATAAAACTCTAATATCTTCTCTGTACTTTCAATTAACTTTTGCTACTATTATTTAAGTAGATATCGTTATTATCTATCATTACAAGCTATCATGCGACAAATCAGAGAAGAAAAACATAGGCAACAAAGAGGATTCCTTTCTATATATTGCTTTCCACTGAAAAGCAGAAGGCTTGAAACCGATAAAATTGGCCTAATAATTATTTGAGACCAACATTCTTGTGATGTCAAAGAACAAAGACTTGCCACTTTTAAGTCTAACACTATGCGACATTAATAGAAAGAAGAAAAAATTTTTTAGTTCACCTTCATTTGTGTCATGAATAGTGTACTTCACAATAAATTACAAAATGTGGGCTGAGTGGTCAATGTGGGAGAGTGATCTTTACATTTTATGAGGTTGTTGTTTGAACAGAAGTTCTCTCAAAATATTTCTGCAGCAATGTCCTAATACAAATAATGTAGAAGATTAATTTTCTAAAAGGACTAGCATTCATCACATGTGCATATTTGAGTCAATGAAAACTAATTCTGCTAGGGAAAAGGCTGAATGTTTAAATATATAATATTAAAATAATCTAATAGAAATTTATCATGCAGTCAGAAAATGTTCCTTTTGAAATTTTAAGTATTTTGTAAATTAGCAAATGCAAAGTATACAGAAAGTTAATTTTAAAAACACACCTGCTTTTCCTTGTCATTTACTTCCTTCTTGTATTCTTCTTCAAGGTGTTGGATTTTTTCATAATCTTCCTTTACTTTAAAAGTAAGACAAATATACTTTAACATATTAACATAATTGTATAACAAATAAAACTTAAATTTTTGAAATCTACTTAGCTAGATATCAAACCCCAAAAGTTTCTAACAAGCAAAAACTGTTTTCTTGGTAATTTTAGTAAAATAGTGAATTTAATAACAAAGTAACAATAACTTAAGAAAATTCTACGTTTACATAAAACATATATAAAAGTTCCTTATAACATATTTTAAATACATATTGCTATTTTTCATGCAACTTCACCAAGAAATGTAAAAATAAGAGCAAATCATACTTCTAAAAATTAAATACAAACCATAAGTTTGCCCTAACAGGTTTAGCTCATTGGATAGAGCGTCAGCCTGCGGATTCAAGGGTCCCAGGTTCAATTCCGGTCAAGGGCATGTACCTTGGTTGCGGACACATCCCCAGTAGGGGGTGTGCAGGAGGCAGCTGATCAATGTTTCTCTCTCATTGATGTTTCTAACTCTCTATCCCTCTCCTTCCTCTCTGTAAAAAATCAATTAAATATATTTTTTAAAAAAAACATAAAATTGTACTCATTCAATACATGCAGTTTACTGTATGTCAATTATACCTCAATAAAACTTTTTTTTAAAAAAAAACATAAGTGCCGGTTCTCCCTTCCTCTCTGTAAAAAATCAATAAAATATATTTTTAAAAAAAAAAAAAACCCGTAAGTTTTATTTCAGGAAAAATGTAGCTTTGAAGCCAAAAACATATTTTTTAACATAAGTCAATTCCCTGTCACATTCCACAAGATTCTGAGAGGCTTACAAATCACATACAATACAAAAATCAAGAGAGTTAGGCATCAAGTTGAAGGTATTTAAACATTAACAGAATGTAATAAAAATATAAACAGAATCTAATGAAAATATTTTTATATTTATAATAATATAAAAATTAAATAGGATCCCTACATTTAAAACGCATTTCTAGTTTGGAATTCTCAGCTTGCACACGAAGTTCCTCAAAAGCTATTATCATTTTCTGAAATACAAAGTTTTGACTTTTAAGGAGCATACTTAAGACTTTTTTAAGTAGCTTTCTTCAAACTATAAAAATATTAATAAATTTTTATTACATGGTCATTACATTCAAAACCATACAACTTTGAACAATGAAAACCCTATAGCTTTTGCCCTGACCGGTTTGGCTCAGTGGATAGGGCGTCGGTTTCAGGTTTGATTCCGGCCAAGGGCATGTACCTTGGTTGCGGGCACATCCCCAGTGGGAGGTGTGCAAGAGGCAGCTGATCGATGTTTCTCTCTCATCAATGTTTCTAACTCTCTATCCCTGTCTCTTCCTCTCTGTAAAAAAATCAATATATTTTTTTTAAAAAACCCTATAACTTTTAATAATTCAATAATTTGTAAAAACGTATTGTCTATTGTGTTAGCTTCTCAGATGCTAGGTACTACAGACAAGTTATATAATATCAAACAGCAATAAAAATGATTACCGCTTACTTAATAGCCTTAGTAGCAAAATCTATAATTTTATCTTTACTTTTACTTAGTTATTTAATATCTGTCTTCCCCACTAAAGCATAATCTCTGTGAGGTTCCTTCCCATAGGAGTCCAAATTACATGTTCATCATCTGGCAGCATGAGTTCAGTTCATTAAACATTCAATAAATCTTGATTTATAAAATTGGATGAATTCATTTATTCAATTAATAAAGTTACTGAGTATCTATTATATACCAGGTACTGTGTTAGGCACTTAAGAAAAAGTCCTTATCCTACTGAAACCAACTAACATTCCAGTATAAAAAAGAATGCACACACACACATATATGTACATCAGATAACTGTCATGTATTTTTAAGTGCTCTTCAGAAAAGTTAAACAAGGTGAAGAGATTAATAATTTAATAGAAAGGTATTTTAGATAAAGTAGTAAGGAGGTAATTAAAAAGAAGAATGAAGCTTATGAGTCTGCATAAGATCCTGGACACAAAAGTTCTAGACAAAGGGAATAAACTGAAAGAACCAAGATAAGAAAGAGCTTAACAAGTTTGAGAAACATAAGAATGACTACAGCAGAGAAGCAAAATGGAGAATGACAGGAGATGGGATAAGACAGGTTAAGCAGGAACCAGATACATTAAACTACTATGTTTTTCAAATTAATGATTTTGTGTCACAATGTGCTAGTGTCTGACACAGAAGTAATAAATATTTGATATATTAAGTTAAATGTCACTAACATGTAAATTCAAAAGTTGCCCATTAACAAAACATTAACACTCATCATATAGAACATGGGGAACTTTATTGGTGATATTATCATATGTCAACAAATAAATAATAATCCCTTTGGCAAGAACAGTTTTCTACATCTTTGTAGCTATCACTCTACTTTGCTTAGAAATAACTTTGTTTAAAATATTAAATTTTCACCACCACTTACCTCAGTGTTATTATTTAGGTCCACATAAACTTGCCTAGTTTCTTCCCGTTCATATTCATCTATTATTAATATAAAATATTTTAAAATTAAATTTTAAAACACTTATGTTGCCAACAAGATAATAGTAAAATGCCTCAGGAAAACATTAAAATTTTGTTAGTTATATCTTATGAGCCCTTTAAAGTAGCATCAAAAGCAGTTTCATAGTGAGTCATGGTTATACTTTATATCAACCTCAAAAGCTTGGTGCTGTTCAATTATCTCTAATTTCCTTTCATAAAATTACTATTTATGAATTTATTAAAAGTTCTGTAAAGTATAATTTTAACCTTTACTATGAATAGGGGTTTAACAATTATTCTATAAAGTATTTTTTTCCCTTTGTATATTTAAGATTCATGAGGTACATGAAAGGTAAAGCTTGCTCTTGTCTCTTGTTCTATCTCTGAGGAGGCAGAAAAGAAGAAAACCTTAAAATAGGAAGAGTTAAAGAATGGCCCCAAAGAGAAACCCCCTATGAAACCCTTATGACCTTTTTGTGTATGGTTTTAGGTGAGTAATGATTCCCTCTAACTCTACTCAAGCATTCAGTAAAGGCAGTAAAACTTGGAGTTGGTAGGTAGTGATGCGGGGGATTAAGGTAGAAGGCAGTATAAGAAAATGTGGTTTTCCCCCCAAATGAGGCCAGCAGCACAGAAACCACATTGAATTGGCCAGTATTAGTTCCAGATTCTCAATAACAGCTGCAAAACAAGAGAACAGCAGCTATTGCAGACTCAAATGTCAATGAGGAGTCAAACAACCAAAAAGTAGGTGGTTCTTTAGAAAAATATAAGTACCCTAAATCCTTCAAAAATACTGGAGAGCCCAGCCGGCATGGTCCTGTGAACCAGGAGGCCATGGTTCAATTCCTAGTCAGAGCACATGCCCACGTTGCAGGCTCCCAATGTGGGGTGTGCAGAAGGCAGCTGATCAATGATTTTTCTCTCATCATTGATATTTCTGTCTCTCCCTCTCCCTTCCTCTCTGAAATCAATAAAAATATATTCAAACAAAATTACTGGAGAAACCTCTAAACTAATCATAGCACGTGAACAAGAGCTGAACTATTTTTATTTGAATATTAAAAGCCTAGAAACCTTAAGAAAATAGAGGCAGAACACATCAGTGTTTCAACAGAAAGATAGTTCAAACTTCTTACTCCACCTATTCACTGTCTCATTTTCACTACCTAACATAGAGCAACAAACCTTCTTTATTCCTCAGAAACTATTTGTACTAAAGAATTGCATTCTATCACCAACACCTTCAATCTTCCTACTACCACAGACTGGGCCTTAGACTCGGAGTTTCCCTTGTTTCAAAACCCTGTGCAAAGGAGCATGGTGGGATAAAGCACAGAAAACCAGGGGACCTGGTTGGGTCATGACGACAGGTACAAGGAACAACTCAGCAGAAACCCATGTGGACCATTAACTGAATACTAATCAAACTGATAAAAGACTCAATGGCTAGATGACTGAAAAACAAATGTCCCTCTATACCACATGGTATTACATATGCACTCCCAAATTCAGATATAACCCCAAGGAAAGGGGAAATTCTCCCAAATTCACTAAGGTTAAGTTTTTTCATGCCAGCAGAATCAAAGCATTATGATTTTTATAAATTAAGATCTTTTAGACATTTTAAGATATAAAAATTTTGTGCATGCTTGAGTTTGTTGACTAAAATTACTCCGAATCATATACTCTACAAAATTTATCAGATTACCAAAAAAACCAACAGAAGGGACAGCAAGAAGACACAACTGTGCAAGGTGAAAACTTTAGAAACTGCTAAGTGACCTGCCGTACAATTATAAATATGAAAAGAGGATTCAACTATTAAACCAAGGGAGGTAAATTAGGATCAAACTCAGTTTATCATGTAGTTTATTTAGTATAGTTCTTGCCTTTATCTATGATGTATAGGGAAGAAAATCTATATGATACCTATGAAAAAATACTATCAAAGGAAAGGAAACAACATGCCTATCACTGAAAATGAACTCTATAGAATCCAGATGAAAATTTCAGAAAATTACTCAATGTTCTCAACAGAACCAAGATAGTATGGCCTCAATGGGAGAGGAAGATACAGTCATAAAGAAAGAACAGGCCACAGATATAATAAGGCAAGTATTAAGAATTTTTTTTTCCCCCCATCTCTTCAGAGCGTTTACTTTGAAGCCAGAATCATGGCAGCTCAGAGGCACATGGGTTCATCAAGAGAAGGAATATTTTAAGAAAAAAAAAAAAAATCCCTCCTGACACATCAAGATATAACCTTTAGTTCATTTTACAGTGGTTCTCAACCTTCCTAATGCCACGACCCTTTAATACAGCTTTTCATGTTGTGGTGACCCCCAATTTCATCGTTACAAATTGAACATAATTAAAGCATAGTGATTAATCACAAAAACAATATGTAATTATACATGTTTTCCGATTGTCTTAGGCGACCCCTGTGAAAGGGTTGTTCGACCCGCAAACGGGTCGCAAGCCACAGGTTGAGAACCGCTGATTTAAAAGACCACCTAGCCGAAACTGGTTTGGCTCAGTGGATAGAGCGTCGGCCTGCGGACTGAAAGGTACCAGGTTCAATTCCGGTCAAGGGCATGTACCTTGGCTGCAGGTATATCCCCAGTAGGAGATGTGCAGGGGGCAGCTGATTGATGTTTCTCTCTCATCGATGTATCTAACTCTCTATCTCTCCCTTCCTCTTTGTAAAAAATCAATAAAATTTATTTCAAAAATAAATGCATAAAAGATCACCTAAAAAATGTTTAAAAGATTTTTCAAACCACCATCTGATTTGATCACTGACTTGAGAGCCTAAAACTAAGTGGTGAAAAGACTATTTCTTCCACTGTGAACCCCCACGTTAAAATAATAATAAATTGATAAAACCACATAGGACAAGAAATATATTTACATTTTTTTGTCTTTTCTGCAGATCTGGTACAGGTTTCTTTCAGTAAATTGCATAAATGCCTTGTAGCATTATTCCTGGAACATATGGAACAGTGTAAGTTTAATCTGATTGCAAGCAAAATCATATATAAAAGTTATAAAACATTATTTTTACAATTTTTAAAGGAATTATTACACATTATATTTTATATATATCATATTGTTCATAAATGACTATATGAAGGAAAAAAGGGGTGACTGTACTGTTATTGAAGCTGCCTCCATTTAAAAGTAAAAGGAATAACTACTTAACAAGTTTCTACCCAAGTAGAAACTTTCTCCACAGCATTCGGTTTGGGAAACCGCCTATTGCAGTGATGGTGAACCTATGACACACGTCAGAGGAGACACGCAAACTCATTTTTTTGGTTGATTTTTCTTTGTTAAATGGCATTTAAATATACAAAATAAATATCAAAAATATAAATCTTTTACTACGGTTGCAAATATCAAAAAATTTCTATATGTGACACGGCACCAGAGTTAAGTTAGGGTTTTTCAAAATGCTGACACGCCGAGCTCAGAAGGTTCGCCATCACTGGATTGTCTTCTCTGGCAGAGAGGTGTGGACAAGGAGCCCGGAATGCTGGTGACCCTTGAAGCCCTGGCAAAGGTCAGGGCTATGTACCCAGTTTAGTACAGACAATGATAGCTGAAGCAACTTCCCCACCAGATAGTAATGTAAATCCTTGCTGATAAGATAGTCTGTTACGGGAACTTGCCTAAGGGTTATCCCAAACTCAATAAAATAATGGCAAGGCCTGGGCACAAGCGGAGTCCATCCTCTTGGGACGGGCTCTCGCCTGGCCCCCCAATTTCCAAATTATCTCGTCTCTCATTTGTGCGCGGCTCCTCTTCCAGATCCTGAACCCTGAACCACGGGGACGTGGGTGGAGGAACATACACAACCAGGTAGAATTTTACATATAAGTTAGTGCTTATAACAGAAAGTGCTCAATAAATTATTGTAAATTATTTTAAAAAATTAGAAAGAACAAATTCATTAAATTATTACTTACTCTTTTATTAAATCTTTATTTTCTTGAATTCCTTCTTCTAATTTCAAACTTACTTTTTCATTTTCAAACTAATTTACAAAACAGAATAGTTCATCAAATATTGCTTAGCAAAATAAATGAGAATAACAGTGTAATATACAATTACATATGTAGTATACATCTGCTTAAAGTGACTATAATTGTACATCTTTTAACATGTATCAGGGGTCCTCAAACTACAGCCCGCGGGCCTCATGCGGCCCTCCGAAAACATTTATCCGGCCTGCCAGGTGTTTTTGCCGCCACTGTGTGCATAGGAATTTGTTCATAGTTTTTTTTTTAACTATAGTCCGGCCCTCCAACGTTCTGTGGGACAGTGAACTGGCCCCCTGATTAAAAAGTTTGAGGAACCCTGATATATATAGTGTTTAAAATATCAAATACTTTTGCTATGTAAATAATGCAAACAGTATTTCTTTGCTAACACTCTATGATGGGCCATAAAAATTCTTTTCTTTGAACACCAAAAAGTACTTTTTTTGTCACAGCTTATGGATTTCCCCTAAGACAATGGGTCTCACTTTCATCAATCTAAAATCAAGTTATCTTTCCTAAACATTTTGAAATGATGTTTTATCTTCATCCGGGCGGCTAGGTGTTTTATCTTCGACCTAGCCCAATGTTGCAGTTTCTCAACATTTTTCTATCACTATGCCATAAAAATTGAAGTTAAACAGTTTCAAATTTAAAGTTTCATCTATAAATGTCATATTACAATATGACATTTGTATTAAATAAAACATCCTCAGTAATAGGAATAAAACTCAGTAAATCACAATCATTAAATCAATATTTCCCTAATCATTTGCATTATCTTGTGCAACTCATCCTGTGTCCACTCTAAAGTTGAAATGCAATTAATCTCAATGAAACTTCAAAAAACCAGTCCTTAAAATCTACATCACAGAAACAAGATCCCTGCAACTTACCGTGAAATAATACTTTTAATTTTTAATATATTTTTTATTGCCGATAGTATTACAGGTATCTCCCTTTCCCCACCATTCTCTCCTCCTCCCAACCCCTTCCCACCCCCAACCCCCAAGTCTTCACCACCCTATGGCCTGTGTCCATGAGCTATGCATGTAAGTATGTAAGTTCTTTGGTTTATCTCTTCTTGTTCCCCCAACCCCACATTGAGGTAGTCTGTTCCATGCCTCCCTGCTTCGGGTCTTATTTTGTTGGTCAATTTATTTTGCTCATTCGATTCCATGAATAAGTGAGATCATGTGATATTTGTCTTTCAATATTCTATTTTAAACTGTATTATAAGATTTATTATACTACATTTTCAATTCCAAATCTCATACACCTGAAGTTCTGTTTTTTAATATATATTTTTATTTATTTCAAAGAAGGGAGAAGGAGAGATAGAAATATCATTGATGAATGAGAATCTCATTAATCAGCTGCCTCCTGCACGCCCCCTACTGGGAATCGAGCCTGCAACTCAGGAATATGCCTTTGACCGGAATTGAACCTGGGACCCTTCAGTCCACAGGCCAACGCTCTTTCTACTGAGCCAAAACGGCTAGGGGATACCTGTAGTTCTTGAATGGCTTTCCGCTGTGCTTCAATTATCTTTCTATTTTCTTGCAACTTATTTTCTTTCTGCTTCAGTTCAGATTCTATATTCACTTTCCACTTCTTAATCCTTTCAGTCTCTTTATACAATTTTGAATATAGTCTGCTCATTGGCTCTGAATTCTGTTAAAATAGGTTTTCGAAGATTGTTAATTGTTCACAATGTTAGTATAACCAAACCTATTCAAAATATCCATGAGTAATTGTTTCTGAATATTTGAGACCAAATCTCTCCTCCTAATAGCATAGTGAAAGCTATATTAACTTTTTTGTACTCTAAGGCAATCCCTAGTTACTTTACTTCACAAAGTTACCGGTCATTTGACTAAGTTATACCTTGCTGAATAAAATCAAATAACTTCAAAATGAACCTAAGCCAGAAGTTAGAAATATTTTAGTCAAGGAGAGAATCTAGCTGGTTAAAAGGTAAAATAAATCACTCTACAAGAAATCTATAAACTTTAACAATGGTCTTGAAACATTTTGGAAATATAAACATTTGAAGGTTTAATAAAGAACATGAAGCTTAAAATACAATGATGAAAAATAAGAGTGAACACAAGATCTAACTTTCATTTAGCCTCAGATTTTACTTGGATTTCCTGCATTATTCATTTCTACATTACAAGGTAAAAGCTAGAGTTTTGTTTTGTTTTAAATCACACTGATTTCTGCTCATTGATGCTCTTTATTATCAAAATATATAAAATAAGTTCCATATTTTAAAATTCTGTGATACTATAATCCAGCAACAAACATACAGTACTTATTTTATTAGGTCATGAAAGTTCTCATTTTAAAGACATGTATGTGCCATTAGTAAGAACATTTTTACAACTAAAATCAAAAGAATAGCAAGCCCTACAAATTCCTTAGACAGTAAACCAGCCAAACAATCATACCTATTAATAAAAAGATTATAAAATACTGGGTTTGATTCTCAGCCTTTTCACATATTGCATCCATCTTACCTCTTTTATTCTTGATTTCTATGATTTAAATTTAAATTGCCCCTAATAAGCAGATGCCATTATAACCCAGGGAAATACAGAAGACTAGAGTTTCGGCAATTTTAAATGAAGATAAAAAAAGAAGGGGGAAAATCAAAGAGTATACTTTAAAACATTAACCAATATTTCTTTTGAAGGCTCAAAAGAAAAATATATAAATAGTAACAAACGATTGCAAGAAATTTCATATGAATGGGAAATCTTCTGACCTCAAAATCAGAGTCCTTTAATCCTTCCTGGTAATGACAACTGTCAGAATTATCAACCTAAAAAATGAATAAATGTTTCCTATAAGAAAATATTTCTTATGAGAGTTTCTACACAGTAGCAATTAAATACTGAAGAGTAGTAATCCAACAACTAAAGAATTTTTTTCTTTTTCAAGCAAGCAGTTCAATGCCTAAACAGATTATATCTATCTATAGGCACTATACTCACTGACCTGTTCAAGCATGGGCAAAAAGTTAACTTTCTGTAAAGTAGCACCTGCAAGATAAAAGACAAGATATTAAGTATGTGAACATCTTATTTTTTACATTAAGTATCTAACTTCAATTTCAAGGCTATCAATATAATACTGTTATATTTTCAGTATCTAGCAATGTGGATTTTAAAAATGCTTCTATGTGAGGTGATATATTGCTTTTCCAGTGTCCTACCTGAATCAATGTTCTTCCCATGTTTGGAGAGATTAGTCATTGCAAATGGAAAACAAATGTCATCTTCAATAACTTTGTTGAAACTCTAAAAACACAAAGAAGTTCTTAAACTGTCCCATACAACTCTGATAACAAGCAATATAAAACAGTATAAATATGTAGTTACACTAATAATATACATCCGCTTAAAGAAGTGACTATAATTATAAATCCTTCAATATATATAGTTTATTTAAAATATCAAATGCTTTTGCCATGTAAATGAAGCAAAAAATTTAATTAGGTATTCGCACTTATTAGATGAACCTAAATTATCTATTATGCAATACATGGTTTGTAAGTATTCAAGAATAACGTTAGGAATTTTAATTAATAGCATAGGATATTAGTTTTCTTCAATTTCATTATGATCTTTCAATTTCATCATAATTAAGGATTATTTTTATTACATAATATTTTAATGTTACATTCTTGGCTAAAGAGACATAAGAAGTTTTCTATGGCATATGAAAATGTAAATATTCAGCCACAACCAGTTTGGCTCAGTGGATAGAGTGTTGTGCTGCAGACTCAAGGGTCCCAGGTTCGATTCCAATCAAGGGAATGTACCTTGGTTGCGGGCACATCCCCAATAGGGAGTGTGCAGGAGGCAGCTGATCGATGTTTCTAACTCTGTCCCTCTCCCTTCCTCTCTGTAGGAAACCAATAAAATATATTTTAAAAAATGTAAATATTCATTATTTCATTCCATCTCTGATATGAAGTTCAACATGAAAAAATGTTTAAATAATTTAGAAAAAGCTTTGCTTTGCCTGAGAAACTTGATATAATTCTACCTTTAGATAAGAACTCTACTATATAATGAATTTCCCTTTTTATCCTGACAACCAGGAAGCTCAGAGGCAAATTTTAAGGTCAGTCACACTCATTCTTACTAGTATCTCGACGATGTTATCCCCGTGTTCTTAATTTATATTTTTGTCTATAGACTATATCATTGTCTATGTCTTAAAAGTTGCCCCTAATCATTTAAAGAAAGAGGAAGAGTTAAAATAACCAGGTTCCATTATGTCTGCAGAGCTCTAGAGCCACAGTGCTCACTTCCTGCCATGACTATCTCCTGCACACATGCTCACTCATCCGGATCGATGCTTTCAAAATGCTTGGGCGGCCCCGCCGCTTCGCTCCGCGGACAGAGCGCGGCCTGCGGGTCGCAGGGTCCCGGGTTCCATTAGGTCACGGGCACGCGCCTGGGTTGTGGGCTCGATGCCCACCGTGGGGCGTGCAGGAGGCAGCCGATCACTGACTCCCTCTCATCGCTGATGTTTCTGTCTCCCTCTCCCTTCCTCTCTGAAATCAATAAAAATATATTAAAAAACAAAATTCTCGGGTAAATCAGACTACATTAACTGGAAAGACTTGTAAAAAATACCACCACTAAGAGAGTACACCGGCCTCATTTGCCTCGAGAACAGTCCCATCCCAGATTCCGGTGCAAGTTTACCTTTAAGAAATTGGACTCTCCTCCCAGGGTCTGCGGCTTCACTGCGGACACCTGGCTGCTGCTCACCCTCGGCGGCACGAACAGGGTAAACGGCTTCTGTTTCTCCATCTTCTCTCGCGTGGTCGTCGGGACGACCTGTTGCCCCAAAGCGGGGAGGGGGCGGAAGGGGTAACTGTTTCACTGTCTCATTAATATTTTAAAAGGAGAGACTACCCGGGGGACCCGTATGCATACAGGCAGAGCCCACGGGCACAGACAACAGTGTGGGGAAGGCCTGGGAGGGGTGGGTGCGGGGTGGAGGGGGAGACACCTGTAATACTTTCAACAATACAGATAAATTAAAATGAACAAATTAAAGGTGACGTTGGTATACTCAGGGACCATCTAAAGGAATGGATGGGACTTTCGCTTGTCCCTGCGGGGGTCCGAGCAAACGCACCCCTGTTTGTTCTCCCTCCCTCTCCCCCGACGACGACTACGACAAGAATTTGCGAGAAACTCGAACATGGCATCACACTGTGACCTGAAAAGAAGGCGGGTTCCGCGTTCCCCGGTCTCGCGGGAGGTGAGGGGGGGCGCGAACAGCCTCGGGTTCTCGGCCGACACCCAGGAGGCTCGGGAGGCCGGCCGCCTGCGTTGGGAGGCGCAGTATCAAAACATGTCCGAGCTCCAGTCCTGGCCTCCACAAAGGAAGTCGGCACACCCGCCCGGTATTCAAGTCCGCGAGGGCCCCGCCCGCCCGCCACCTGGGAAAGCGGCTGAAAGAACCTACCAGAACATCGGCCTCCGAACTTCAGAAAAGGCGGGGACACCGCTCCACCTGTTCGGACTGCAGGACGGAGTGATGTGACGAAGCCAGGCGGCGGTTTAACGGCTAAATAACCGTCAATAACGGTCAACCTCGTGAGCACGCACGGCTGACATCTCGCGAGATTTCCCCTTGGGTCGGTAACCCGTTCTTTCCGGTATTCTGGCGCTCTGTGCAGGCACTGTGATGGGTGGGAGCTGAGCGTGGAAAACCCACTTCTGTCCTGGAGAGCTCAGCCTTAGGAAGGAAACGGAAGTACGAACAAACAGTTACAACCTCATGTCGTCATGGAAAGGTGGCCATGTTTCCCGAGAGGTTAGGACTCGGGGAAGGCAGTGCTCACACTGGCTTGGGGGGTCCGGAGAGGCCTGGTCACGTGCTACGCTTCTTTTACTGCAGCGGTTCTCAACTTATGGGTCGCGACCCCTTTGGCGGTCAAACGACCCCTGTGGTCGCCTAAGACCATTCGTGGGTCGCGACCCCTTTGGCGGGCAAACGACCCAGGGGTCACCTAAGACCATTCTACATATAAGATATTTATATTACGATTCATAACAGTAGCAACATTACAGTTATGAAGTAGCAACAAAAATAATTTTATGGTTGGGTCACAACAGGAGGAACTGTATTTAAAGGGCCAGAAGGTTGAGAACCGCTGTCTTACAGAGTTGGCTAGATAGGGGACAGGATAAAGAGTATTCCTGATGGAGTCGTGAAAGAATATTTGTAAATATTGTGGACATGTAAACCAACATTTTCCCTGTGGATGCAATTTCATAGCCTAATTGAGCCAGTTAAGTGGACACGTGGTATGGTTACGCCGGAAACTCTCTCCTCTGTGAAAAACTATTTTCCTCAAAAAATAAATAAATCAACCATGTGTACGAACTCAAATAAAATAAAAAAGAGTCTTTGTGGCAGAAGGAAGGTTGGTGAAGGCGCTGGCGTTGAGAGCGATGCGTATGAGAGAGAGTGAGTCCAAGGAGCGTGTCGGTTGTGAGGACGAAGTGGGAAAACACGAAAAGAGACTGGAGACTCGGCAGATCGGAAGGCCTTGCGGGGCTTGGACCTGAGCCTCCTGAATGGGAACCGGAAGACCGAGCAGAAAGGGAGGCACGACCAAGTTCAGAGGGAAATTTGTGGAATGCAAATGGCTTAGGCTCGTGAGACCGGAGCTGTAGATCTAGTTTCAGTAGCTGAGTAAGGCGTGAGCTACGACAGTGGTAATGGAGGTGAAAAGGTGTCAAAAATAACAGGAACTGGTAGGCTGTGATATGATTTTTTAACAATGAGCAACGAAAGAGAGAAACGTCTGAGGGTGACCCCTGGTTTCAGGCTTGGGAGACCAGATACAATAAATACTGTGTGTTAAGTCCCAGGTGTGAGCAATGAGTTTTTCTATTTCTCCATG